GAAGTGAAGGGCTAAATTATACACTGTATCGGAATCGGAAGCAGACATCGAAAAGGATGAATAGCTACTGGAAGCAACAGAAAAGGAGACACCAAAACAATGTAAGTTGGAGTGTCATGCTTGTCTTCCTACGGTCTACGAGGGGTAACTGATTTAAGCAAGTAAATAATTTCTATTGATCAAAACAATTGTCGTTACGCTGCAAAAACAATTAACTCTTTTGTCTAGCTTGGGTATTCTTTAGTGAATTATATTATTTACGGTGTAGTGACTCACTTTTATCACGAGAACACGATTGGTCTAATGGAAAGAATTATTATTATAACCAATTATACCAGTGACTGTTTAATGTACTCTTTGTTTAACTGTGCTAAAATCATCCATTATACTCACTTTGATTGTGACCTCGCGCGAATTCGGTTACGCTCTGTAACCAAGCTTGTATCATGGCACGATCTCGGTATTCTTTCGATACCACGAGAACGCCAGCAAATATATCTCGACTTAGTCCATTAACTGCCTTCTGATATTTCGCTTCCGGGGGATTCTATGGATTTATTTGGCACGCGTTCCTTTAAAGTGGTGTTCATAGTCAATCGCGACTCCACACCTCGCTACAACGGTATCACTTGCAGGTACACAAAGTCCACTTTAATTAAGGCTAGACGATGAAGAATATACGTCGGTGACAAAAGTTTGGTAGTATAAAATATCAAATGGTCTTCTTATTTCGGTGATATGTGTTTTCACCCGTTTTTTACAGTTAATTATACCTCGTAACCGACAACTTCCTGCTCCATGTTTTACTTCACTATTCATTAACCTGTACGAAAGAAATGTCAAACACCAACGTTTTAGCTGCACTGAAACTACATAGCACAACATTATTCATTTTACCTCTGTGTAATATCTGAGCTTTCACCTTCCGACCACGAGGCATGATTTTCGGGAAGCAGATTTCGTGCGAAAAGTACGGTAGCTTTCAACATAAAAACTACTTCACAGACATATAAAGCTGTATTTAAACAAAACTGCGTGTATTTATATGTTTATGATAAAGAATTGAGAAGCAAATTTTGAATTCTCGTAACAAAAGACTAACGCGTGGTATAATTAGGAATCATACCATATAATTGCTCGTGAAACATTGTTTGAACCAATCGCGAACGTAAATCAACAACTGTACGGATTTAAGGGAATCCATGAGACTATATAATCATTTTCGCTACGCAACCGCTACGTTCAGTAACTCAATCCTATCGGTTGTCGTGAGTACATGTGTTAGAATAACCCGGAATCATAACCCGTAAAAATCATGACATAACAATTCATGCCTACTTATTCATCTTATTCATATGGGCTAAAAATATTCGGAGTACAAAAGATACCCTACAAATTTTGGCTCACAACACTATTTTAGAACATTTGACTTCAGACCTACTTAAAAATTATTACGAGTTTGTGACATTAAAATTCCGGAGTAAAATAATTCTAGTAAAACTACTACCAAAGTTAATCGTTCTGTAAGTCTCTAACTGTGATGCCGACTTGATCACTCATCCGCACCAGATCACAGGACTACGCGTCCCTGATTTGATTGGGTTGTTATTTTACAATTACAAACGCGTCTCAGGCAAAACGTTGTCACACGCTTAGTGTTTGTGATAATTTTATGGTTATTAAAATACTAGTGCAATTACGGCTCTATTATAATTTCTGGTTACTCTTTTCTCAATATTACAAGTTTTCATATATAACCAGTTCTATTAACTACTACCGTGACATAAGTTAGTGTAACTACTTCAGCGATGTTTCTGATCTTGTCTTGAATCCATTGACTCCATTATGAAAGGCGGTGAGTGGACCACGAAGTATAAATTTTCTGGCTAATTTCTTGCGTTGTACATTATCTAACTACATTAAGTGACGTTGGTAATATGAGCCATATTCGAATCGAGTTGGGAGAATTTATTTCAGATGTTCACTTACTCAAAGAGACGGCAAGAACTGAAACAAGGGGAAAAATCTCAGCGCTATCCAACTTTTGTAGCCAGGTAAAAATCTTAAAGATATGTGACAAATGGCACAAGTGATAATCAAGCAAGAAAACACTCTAATACATGAGCAGTTTAAATCATAAGTCGAATATATATGTACATGATGACACAAAAAAGCTAGCTTAATTGGTCTGTTCGAAATTCGAAATAATACCAAATGCTACAAACTCGTTTTATGTAGCTCATTATGATTAGTAAGAGTATTACAGATTCTTATAGACGGTTACCAGGTTGAGGTAGCAGTATTTCTAGCATAATTAAAGTGATTCAGATTGATGAAATACTTTCACAATGGTACCTGATCAGTATCATCAAGACAAATCTATGTAAATCACGTACCATACCTATATCTGTGATATTTACCTTTGTTTTAGTTTCTTACCTAAACAGCTTCATTTGTAGGCGTTCCAACCCAGATCCATTGTTTTGCTCGCGATATTTGTACCGCTGTGTGAGTGCAACGGAAAGAGCGATGAAAATCCCTCCGCAGCTGTTTTTTAGACAGTACTGTCTTTATCTGTTTCTTCCCCCTGTCCTGTATTTTAACCTTTGTTCAGATCTCGTTTAACCACACCTTTTGTTCCTCAGTCTTCCTCGTCTGAGCACTTATAACGTGGTTTTGATTAAAGACTTATCTTTTGTTACCTAATGTTCTATTGCATGCTGCCGCACTATTGAGAGTAAAGTCGTGTTTCAATGAGCTCAAGGTCACGGCATGATTCAGTGTGTGACTGTTAACCTTTTGACTGTCTGCTTGGGAGGATTGCTGGAATCCCTGTAGACAGATACTTCATCCCATCTTGTTGGGAATACTTTATTGATTCTCAGGTATCAAACCCTATTTTATTAACTGTTTCTTTCACTGTTTAGCATGCTACTTTGCATTAGAGAAACTTCTGACTGTATAGCACAGGATGTACCGTTTGAAGTATTTCGTATTTCTGATATAATGTGTTCTATTTCCTAAATTAAAAACGTTTAAATTGAGCACAGAGTTTGTGTTCTGATATAATTTAATACTAATGTCTCTAAAACGCTTTGTAAGCTATACGGAAGAACGTAGTCTGTCCTATTCGAATAAATTTTTGTTCGTCAGTTCTGCGTTCAAACCGAATATTGGCAGTTTGGTCGTTACAATGAGGAAACCGCTAACGAGTCATAATGAGAAGGGAGGGTGGAGCTATTGATCACAAAGCATTGATGGTGAAGGAGATGTATTCAATCCACTTCTGTTTGTGGACATAAAATTTTGTTTGTTTCAGGCTCTTTATGACTGAGGACGAGGCAAGTAATCAGTAATACTGAGGTTTCTCTGCTACACCCGGCACTCAGACTAATGTTCCCAAACTTATGTTGAATTCGCTATTGTACTAAGATAACCGGTTGCATGCTAAATTAGACTTTTACATTATAACCTAGTGGCCGTCATTAGATAAAGATGATGAAAGTAATAAAGAAAACAATAGACGAAATATGATATAGCTATATGCGTTTCTGAACACTACTCCCTTTTGATGTACTTTCGGTTTTAATAAACGGCCGTTCTGTTTTCAACTTCGAGTTTTCATTCTTTATCTGAACCCATTCTATTTATCATCACGTTCACTGTGCACAGCTGTGGAGCTTTGTACATCTGGAATAGATTTAGAAAACGCGTCTTTCAAGTTCACAGCCTTTTATATTTACTTCGTAACAACTATAACACTCTTAAACAGTTGTATTGTATAAATAATTAGTAGAACCAGAATTGTAACACAGTAATGTCAGGTTCATACTTCATGTACATTTCCAAAAGTCACAACGTCGACATGATCCCGGTCTTGGAATAGATCGTAAGAACCGTGCCCATAGTACGCTACTAACACAAACCCAATCATTAAATCTCTGGTACATCTTCATGAATCCACTGCCCTTTGTTTTCATTGATTTTATAGATTAAACAACATAGCTTGGGAAGCATCTTGTACGTAAATCAACGTAAAATTGATTAAATTATGACTCCATGGACAGTGGATCTGTAATTCGATCCGTATATAATAGTGACTTCACATGTCTATAGTGATAATAAGCGCCTTCCGATTATTCGTTTCGGTGGGATCTGATATTGATTCAAAGCTCGGTCATAAATGATCAAAAGATAAAGCCAAAGCCAGTTGAAACGTCTTAATAGTCTAGATAGCCATCTAGAGAGCGTCATGTTTCTCTTTCTCCGCATACAGTCAAACGAACCCTTACATCTAACCATCGTTGTCTTCTTCTTTGTTCATCTGCGGATCCATCAGTTACAAGTTATTTGTTCACTGGCAATACCTGGTTCTGTTGTTTCTAGTCCATCGTCGTATTTAACATAATTTTCACCTCAGTAGATCAGTACTACACCACAGTGATGTAAAACACTAGGTGAGCTGTCAGTTTGGAGGGCACACGTAAACATACATAAACACTACTGTGGCAAGAAAAGTCTAAAAGTCAAAGGACCAGATGCTTACATTAAAACTTTCCGAGAACAGTAAATCAGAAAGCATAAAGCTCCAAGTATGTAATAGTTGGAGGAATATTATATTTAAATGGAAGCAGAGACAGATAAACCAAAATGAAATTAATTAACAACTCACCGGATAAGAGGTTTCTCATGATGGTTGATCTGGTTTACCTCCAACTTAAAGAGGACCTTCAGGTAGTAGAGTTAATTGCGAGTATGAAGATCGGGTATTGTAATCACACGAAGCCATTAACTTCACTAACGTATATACACCTACATGTAAGCCGCAGAATCACTTTCCGATGAGCAAGGCTACTATTGTAAGTCTACTAAATAGTTCGTTTCGTCAGATTTATTAAATATCAAAACGTAAACATATCTCACATAGGCACGAATCAGTCGGTGCCTCTCGGATTTCAGAATCGGTTATACGTAATTCTCGTTGTTTATCTCAATTGTCTGCCACACATATTATTTGAATCTGTTTACTTGTTATTGCAGATATGTCTCGAATGTATTTCAGCTAATCAAACTTTTAGCTGTCAGTTTTCAAAATCATAATCCTCTTTCTGAAAACTAAGAAGATTGACCCAGTGTCTTTGATGTTGATATCATATCTGTCCGACGTTCAGATTCCTTTCATACTAAACGTAGATTTGGTGATTGTGAAATATCAGTAATGCAAGAAGTCTAAATTGGTTTTGACATCTTAATAGACGTTGATAGTCAGATTCTATTTTGCATAGACATCAAAATTCTTATGGGTTGCTACAAGGAGAGCGTACTATGGCCTATTTCTGGCTACACTATAATGATTTGGATAGTCGACGAATTGATACATAATTACTATTTACTGAATTTGCTAAAATTATCACTACTTAAACTTACTCACAACAAAAAGTATCGCTTTAATATTGCCTTATCAGTCACAGTATGTCTTTTTGTTTTGGTAATCCAATTGCTAATTCAATTTTCAGAACCCTACAAAGTTTTGCGAAGAATTCATTATATGTAGTGAAAAAAATATATGCGCTTCCCTTAGGTGGGTCAAGGCATTTGAACATTTGGAAAAACCTGAAACAGCCCTTAACTTTGATTTTAATCAGTTCACTTCAGACAAAGCTTTTGAAATTTATTTGTTTGTTCCAACAACAATTCTCTACAAATTTGGAGACGACAGTTGTTCACCGGATAAAATAACACACTTTAGTACCAAGGCATCTGTTCACATCAGACTTATAGTTTCTGAAAAAGTAAGTTAACCTATTTTCTTCCATTTTTAACAACACTCAACTATGTTTAATTCAATACAAGTGACTGTATAGTTCACATTTGGAAGTTTGTGAATAAATAATTGATTATCAAAAAACAGGCACGTTTTAAAACTACGGCAGGTGTTCATATGATCAGCCCTTAAGTCTTGTTAAATTTCATGTGAAATATCCTTATATATTATATTCAAATTGGAAAGTTAGATTATATAAATTAAATCACGATGGTTGTTTTACATACAATCAATGTTATTGTTACAAACCAACTTTTCGGACTATAGTAAGGCACGAGAAAGTCTCAAAGCGGTCTGATATTTCTCTTTTAAAAACATTAGGAACATTCCCTTGCACTCTACGTCAAACACTAAGTCTTTTTGCTTAAATCCAGGTTTTAAAATTACACTAGAAACTACTTCTGAAGATTCTGTCTGTTATCTTGACCTTGCAGTCTGAACAAAGGCGATTTTGAGCAACGACATCACTTCACTCATTTTAAAGAGACAGAGTTTCCAATAAACTTACTTATTCCAGCCGTATATACGGCTAATAGACCTGACTTTTTCCAATTCATCAAAATTACATTGCACTATGCTGCGTTTTATTGTGTGGGGACCCCATGCTTTGTTGCCCCAACTTTCACTCACACACAATTTAAAATTGTTGAAAGCAAAGTTGGAAAACAATAGAGAAACAAAAGACGTCGTTTTGTCTCAAATTTTGTCCTACAGCTAATTTTTCACGCTGAAGTAATCTCACGAAAAGCGACACAAATATACCTTCAGACTTTCATACAATTTTTTATGTTGTGGTGTTTTCCACGTAACTATAACACTTTCAGTCCAAAACGTCTGGTTTTAATGGACATAGATTCATTCCCATAATTATTTTAATGTGTTGTTTTAATTGTACGGTTTCTGTTATTCTAATCACGAAGAACTCTAAGTACCATTGCATTTAATATCACTTCAATTTATCTTACTTTCACAGACTGGTGTTAACGAACATGTACCATTTTCTGAAACTGATGCCTTTGGAGTTGAAATCCTTAAAAGTATTTCTCAGTTAGCATCTGGAACATTTGCTATCGTTCGATTATGTTCATTTGTCAAAACATGCTCAAATGGCTGCACCACGTGGTTACTGGGCAAACACGAACGTGGTTCTAATCATATGAAAACATCAAAACGATCCAAGGAAATACAAATTCATATGTTGTCATTTATTAATCATTCACAGCCCATTAAATTACCCTGTGGAAAAGTTTACGTTGTGAGTGATTCTATAGAGCATGAGCCTGTGTTAATGAAACCAACACTGTCAGCTTCTTCTGAATTTACTGAGAGATGTAAGTAATAGTTAGTATATGTAAATAGAAATAGTTTCTATCTAAAAAACCGATGTTTAAAACGTTATCAAGCTGTTGGGAACAATTTTTCGTGGTCAAAAGAAAGATTGTTTTTCTTTGATACTTTAGCTGACAAATAATTGTATAATTTTCAATATTTGGGTAGAGTTTGGGTTCTGTAAACTTTATTTCGATTATCAAAAGTCATTTAACTATTTTCATCTCGAAATTGTTATTTGGACCAAGCTATCACAATAAAGCAAAAGTAAAAATGGGTAATTTGTGTTGAGCACTTGTAATCTAAATAGTACACTTACTTAGAAAGAATAAATACAAATTTTAGTCATGTTTTAACTGTTTTAAATATAGCTTTTATGTAAATAAGGCTGCCATGTTCTATACCTACACCGTAATTCATGTAGTTGCAGAGCGTTTTTTAAACAATAAGCTCCACTTTGGCAAATCAAGTAAAAATTAACATCGAGTATTTATCGAAAGTCCGTGATTTACTCAAAACTGTTTTTGTTAGAACAAACTTATCTACCTTTAACAGCAAACATCTCTAGTGTGAAATCGAGTTGTTCCACACTACAGGTATCACTATCGTAGTATCCCTTTATAATCTCAAATAAATAACAGCAAGAAATATAATATTTTTTAGATATCTTGATTGATATTAAATTGAATTTCTGAAACCGCACAGCTTACGCTAATACAATTGCTTTGAAATAATGTTATAAGACATCTGAGAGCTCATCAAAAGATAACAGTATGAAACCAGATTAATCTACCAAACGAGAATAGTTGAAGTCAGAAGTAAAGGTGTTCATTTAAATCGTCATATTTATAGCGTATGAGCTCGGAAGATTTTAGATCCATCCCTCTTCTAAGTTGTAAAAAAGCTTCAGCTTTTGGTCAAACAAAATGGGAACTGCTATCCAAAACGTTTTAGAATTAAGTTAATAAATCTTTGCTTTTTCCATAAACGTAAGTCGGAAGAGCATCGATCTCCTCAAATATATTAGTGAGTCAGAATATTTCCTACACAATATTTATAAACACTACGTACTCTTTACCAATTTCACAATAAATGTGCCCAACGAAAGTTAGAAACAGGAAAAATAAATACAGTTGTTTTAAGAAATTATGCATATATGTATACGTGTTTTATTTTATCGAGACCTAATGTATTAAATACAACATTTTAAGCTTTTTATTGCACAATTACATTACCATGAGTCTGTCTATGTATTTTTAGATATAAACTCAATCAGTCCGAAACGTCAAAATAGTTTTTATAGTTAAATAGTATTTATATAGCGCTTTCTAAAGTCTTAATAAGCAAATCATTATGAATTTCAAATTTCATCAAAAAGAAACACTTACTATTTAGTTTCTTTCTATTTGCTAAAATCTCTGGCTAAATATATACTTTATATCGGATCTCTGAATACTGTGGAAAGCCTTAGAATGTGATATGAGGTCTGTTTTGTCTCATTTTTTTCTGAACTCTATTCAATAGTAAACTTCAGCATCAAATAAAGTTTTCAAACACAGTTGATATTGTTGGCTCCTTTTAAAGATTTTAGACCACATACGTGCCCCAATTCTTTCAGTACCTCCGATTGTTGTATTCATCCTCATTTGTGGTCACGTGTATTTGTGAATGAAAAACTAGTAAATGATTTAAATCGTAGAATTTATGAGTCAGCTAAAGACGAAGCAAACTCAAGAAAATGTTTATTTAACTGGTTTACTGATGATTACGGTCAAAAATCAAGTCTCCTTGACAACAAAAAGGTGCTAGCAAGGAGATCATCAGACGGTCATTACTACCTTGGGTCAGTTCAAACTGTCGTAAGTAACTTGTAAATCAGAAGTTTTTGTTCTTATTACCACTTTTTGTATTCTGTTGTGTTAATGTAGCGCAGCCAATTTCAATGTTTTTTTATTTAACTAATATCTTCAGAAATTTATTTAGATTACATGCACATCCGACATTTGACCAATGCACTTTATAAGAAGAGTTACTAGGATAAAGCCAAAACCAGAGTTTTTTTAATCTGAAGTGGATCGACTTGTCTCGTTGATATTTTTGACTGAGATTTTATGAATATTGGTACATCCAACTGATTAGTCCAAAATAAAACAGAATGCATGCCCGAAACTCGACTACTAGCGACATCTAATTTATTTCTTACTAAAATTACTTTTTTATTCTTTGCTATTTCACTGATTCCAGTAAACATCCAGTAAAACTAAGTCAAAGATCTTTTGAATTAATTAATATCAAAGTTAAGGAGTTTCTTTTACATATGATAACTTCAGAAGTTCAAAATTTTCCAGTATTTATTTGTCAAAAATAACCAGAGTTACTAAAATAAGACTAGATTTCGGTCGTTCGGAAAATTAATATATTCTATGTCACTAATGATTCGATCTTTGCAAAGGACAATGTCAAGGTCCTTACTACTTGTATCGATACGCTAAATACTATAAATTAAGTGTATGACTGTAAGACATTATATATGTGTTCTAATGTTGATGATTGAATTTGGTATTCCCAACCTTGAATTTAGAGAAGACCATCTTGTGTTATTCTGTCATATGTGGGTCAACATTCCATTGTTCCTGCTCTGATAGTAACCTTTCATGAATATGGAAGCACTTTTCCATGAAAGCTATATGCCAATCTCACTATTATGCGGAGAGAGGAGTGACTGGTTTGATACTCAGCATACTTTCAATAACTTTGCCAATGACTGTAATAATTACTATGCTGTTATTCATGTCACTTTTGCAAATACTTTGGTCGTAAGTAGAGTTTACCTGTACATAAAATATACTTATCTGTAAATCCTGAAGAGGGAAAAGATTAAAACTGGATGGAAATAACTGGGCACAAACATTCTCGTATTTGGAAGGGTTGATTAATTCTTTTTAGAAGATCAAATACATGAAGAAGATAGGCAAAAGAAACAAAAGATTATTTTTAGCATCTTAGAATTTAATAATTCCCCTATGAATATTATTGAAAATGCAGTAGTAGTTTGAATCAGATATTGTAGATTGGCACCGTAATTTACCCATACCTCTATGGTACAACGAAAGAACTTCAGAGTCTTAAAATAATATAGAATTAAAGCATACTACGAAACAGATAACGCCCTTTGAAATTGTCACATCTCAACAAAGAATAAAAGAATGGTAACTGCTAGAAGTTATTTATCGAATTTTATTACAAATCTTCCTATTGGATCACTATTAAGTAGCTAGATTATATGTATATTCATATTTCATAGGCTTTTATTTGATCTAATGACTTGTTACACGAGTTACTACTCTCAAGTTGTTCTCAATATATTAGTTACAGTCTCTCACACCCTCAGTCACTTTTAACTTGATCCTGTATACTTGTTATTTTTTATTTTGTGGTACGATGAGGTTTGGTTTGCTTGTATATAAACTGTGTATGTCTGAAATACATGACTCATACAGTGGGAGATGAGATTGTGTTTTGGACTCAACAGACAGAGCAAGGAAAGAAGAAACAACAAGGACTCAGAGTTGATCCTAGGCTACTCGTGCTGCTTAGCGCTTCATTGGTATGACACAATCCCAAAGTCATATGAGTCTGTTTTCTAATTGGCGATTTAGTCACGTGATATTTGATGTGGTAAAAGACATAACAAAATGCTATAGTTTATATAAAAGGTTAAATCATCTTTTTGTAAACATAGAATTGCGTCTACGAATTAGGATGTGTCGACTGTGATGCCTTCTGTATTGAAGAGTCATTCCGTGAAATCTTGATTTGAGTCAAAGGTCCTAGGTACACAAAAAACCACCTAATAATCCTGTAAAACTTGAAAGACTCCTAATCAGATCACGAATAGCAGTGGATGCCATCTTCAATAACCATCGTGATGATATCAAAATAATATTAAAAGACAGTCCACTTACAAGGAAAGGCGAGTAGCTGAAGCTTTTCATGTATTGTTATATCGTACTGGCCTCGGTCGAAAAAAACATCTTACTATCCATCCTACTTTAACCATCTATCCGAGCTACTATTTCCAATTCTATCTACATCTCATACTATCATCATACATACTCAACTCTACCTTTTCACATGACAAATGTAGCATTTTCCACACCCAATAACATAAACCTAAATACACAACTGTGTCTTGATAAATAACCTTGATCGGAGTGATATGAGATTGAGTTGGTCAAATCTGTTTTTCATTAGTCGTACTAAATATTCCTCTGAACTATCTAAAAAAGTCTTAATTTGACTTATTTATCTATATGATCGCTGAAGAGGTGTCTTACACTTAATCACGAAACGTCAGAAAATATGAATTTTTTGCTCGTTTAAATCTTATAAATACGTCTTTTATTATCAAAAATCTACCCAATGCTCTATTTATTAGAAATTATCAAGTCAAACCTCAATTATGATACCTAGGTTGACTATAGAGTTTAGATTTTGATGACTGTTCGCAAAAATAGTTTGCTAAGATAATTAGAATTTTTCTGTTATATCCCAATAAGTAGAAAAGTTGTATTTCTGACGTTTCATGACTTAATGGTAACCACTTCTTTCTACTCAGTGCTCAATTTATTTGAATCTATCAAGTTTAACCCTGGCATTAATACCTACAAACTCATTGAGTTTGTTAAGATGTTTCGTTCACATTATTTCCCGTTCATACACTATCTATTTGACCATTTGTTCTTAGGTTCTAGGCACCACGATTAGACTCTCTTAAACAATATAAAAACTTATGAAAAAACACTGAAAATAAAGTTTAGCACACTTATTTTCCCCATAAGTTATTCTACACATTCAATCTATTGTGTTATTTTTTCAGAAATCCCATCTACCTGTGGATCAAGTTTTTATACGATTCGGTCCTATACACAATTTAACAAGCTTTGATTTGCGAAAATCCAGATCAACTACCTCGAATTCGGATACATTTCATTATGAATGGCTTGATATAACAGAAATCATTGACTTAGAGCATGCTATCAGACACTCAATTGAACCAGGTGATTGTGTTCTTGTACCCTACAGTTGGCCCTTTCCAAAGTGTCCCATCCTTAATATGGAAAAACCATCTGGTTTTGAGAATCTCCGTTACTATGCAGCTATCGTAGTTTCTGGTCGAGAACAAAGAGCTGACAAGTGTAGGTTCCATTTTACTTTTATTTCTTTAAACATGTGTAGGGATTCAATATGATTTTATCCACTTCACTGTGCATTTGACATACGTTTTTCAACTCACATTAAATTAAGATTACAAAAACGTTTCTCAACAAATTCATTGTTACGTCTTAGTTGAATACATGCGGTCGACAAGAAATCGTAGGCCTAGGCTTCGTGCAAGTTAGCACATATCACAACAGGGTTTCTGAAGTATCGAATGAACTGATGCTTCCCTTTGATGTACCATTCAGCTTCAAGATCAGAGACGTTGCTGCTAAGCTAATTTACTCATTTGCGAATCAGAGTCGAGTTAGAAAATGACCAGTTAATTGCTGTCGGTTCTTTTTGAGGCTTTGATATCTAATTACTCATTAAGCGTACTAGCAGTATAAGCTGCTATCACATATAAACTAAATAAATCCTGTTCTATAACGCTGATTTTCAATCTAATGTTCATAACTGTTACTAAATCACATATGTGTTACTTTACTACTTTTGTGAATAAAGTCGATTTTATATTGTAGCAATATTTCAGTGAACACATGAATACATTTTTTTAAGTTTTCCAGTTAATTCATAATTAAATGTTTCGACCAATAAAAGTAGGGCATCGTGAAGTACAGAAATTTTCTAAGGATTTTGATATGTTACACAGATTCTTATTGTCAAGTTAGACGTAAATGGGGTACATTTATCTTATGAATGTTCCTTGTTTCAGTGCAGTCCACCGTTTCGGTTAGCTATAGTATAACGACCAGATCTTATATCACAAATACATTTTTAGGTTAACTCAGCTTTATGTAAGGCTAGCTGTAAAATAGATACAATAATCAACTATACAATACTAAAAGTGCACATTTCGAAAAACAGTGTAGGTGTTAGTACTGAATAACTGTCTTAAATTGTTCACTTAGCAATTAAACTTTGATGATAATACTTAATCGAACAAGAATTTACATTTGAGTTGCATGACCACCATAAATCTTTAAGCATACATACCTAGTTATGAAGCGATATTGTCTAACTAGTTAGGTTACCTATTTCATATCACTGTTATCAAATTTCAGTATGTACAAAATTCAATAAAATATATCCCGACACTTTCAAACAATAAAAAGTCTATAAACAACTAACTATACTAAATACTCTTTAGAATTCTATTGATACAAGCCTTATCGAAATGTTCTCGTCAAGAAACCTAGATCAATAAAACGTAATTAGTATTGATACAAAAATCAATACCTACCAATATGCACTTTTCTGCTGCCAGGGTGATATTGATTTAGGTACATTAACAAACTTTTTCACTTTTTTTATAAAGTGCTTTGTAAAGATAAATATTTATCCATTTTGTAACCATAAAATGTGTGATTTACGTTGATTAATGAAACATTTCCTGACAAATTTATATTGGAAATACAATAAGTTTTAGATTAGAACTTCTCGACTTAGTATTTCCGTAACTAGCAAGTGTATAAGTTCCTAATCATTGCTAACTGATTTCTGTATAGTTGGACACTGACCTTATTAATACTTGACTTAATATCACGATCTGAAAAAGTTCTAGAAAATGAAACTCTAAAGAAAAAGTAATTGATACATGTCGCTACACACGATAGAAATACTAAGAATAAAGGCGAAGGAATATTTTGTAAATATTTGGTCGAAAGCTATATATGAAACTGAAATGAATTGGTTATTAGATTGCATTGGAAAACAGATCAAACTTTAAACCATCAAATCTAACATCATTATTAACTGATAACCAATGCTTTAGAAATCTGATCAATCGAGCTTTATCCGATGCACATCACAACATATTAATTTGACTTAGTGAAATAAATTTCATGTAGTATGTTACTGTGACCCCTTAAATTTTCAAAAAGTTTCCAGTGAAAGATGATATAAAATTAGCTATTTTTTATTATATTCAAAGTAGATAGGTAAGTGTCATTCATTACAGCATACAAGGAAGAATGTTCATGTTAAAAGAATTAAAGATTATTTTTATCAACAGTTTTATCGATCCACTTCTGTCTGACTGTTTTTATTTAATTTAAATAGATTTCTAAAAAGTACAACTGTTTTGATCATTATATTCACTTGTTTATTTTTTGTTTAAAGTAACTGAAACTAAAAATTTCACAGATGATCAAAAACTTTTGGTTGAATTAGCTAGTTCGAACACTCGTGTTGGTCATATTTATGTTCCAAAGCAAAAAGCTGTTTGGATTTCACCGAATACTTATCAACGAATTGTATTAGAACAATATATGACACCAGAATGCAGGAAATGGTTAAAAAATAAAACATTTCTTCCAAATAGTTATCCATTTCAATCAGCTCCAGGTTATCCTGCTGATGGATTTGGTAGATTTAAATCATATAAAAATAGCCTTCAGTCAGATTTACACATTCAACCGTTGACTTTTCAACAGTTCAGACATGGAGCGGATGTTCAAGTAAGAGAGTATCATTCACTATTTCTTTTGTAGTCCAAATCAATAATGCTTTCCTTTCGTAAAAACCGTTACATTTATTTCAAAATTAAACATGTACAAATGTTAAATTCTGTTAAAATTAGATGATGGGAAACATTCGTTGCTTAAATAGAAGTATTTAAAATTTACCTCATTTTCTAGCTAGATGGTTTATTTGTTAAGGTTTGGTTGCATTTATTTATAAAATCGTCAACACACACTTTTCAAAGAAATGAGCTATAAGAACTTTTCTCTCTAAGAAATTAACATTATATTTGGTTAACATGGAATTTCTTTAGTACTTTCTCGTATCGTCGCCTCTGACTTGATATACATTTTAATTCCCTAATGCTCCGATTCGAAATTAAACCTTGTAGTTATTTTTCCTTAATTCTATCGGGTGATAGAGTGGGTTTGTTCGGATAGATCTATTGATCACCTAGTGTTCCGTCTACCAAATTTATAGTTCTGTCGCTACGTTTGTGTTCCCTGTCTCTCAATCAACACCAGAATGTTTTAAAATCTCTGTCAAATCTTGATACGTTTTAGAATAATTTTGAGAACTGAAAATAGATTTGTACTGTAATCTGACTTGTGATCGATTTAGTAATCATTCGAGGTCATTTTTGGTCTTAACCCTTACTTACGATATATCCGCAAGTCATCATGAAATTGTGTTATTTGGTCTGGAAATTTTACTACCTATCCTTAAAGGGAAGAGCAATACTCGAGACTACTGTGTTTACTTGAAATTACAAATCGAAAGGCAATAAAAATTGTTCCGATTTCTAGTTTTCTTTCCGGTTTAGAGAAGGAATATAACTGTTATTCTTGTCACTTAAGATTCTCAATTATTTTGCGATTTTTATTGCCATTTGGGAACGTACCATGTTTTTAACATTATTTTTAAAAAACTGTGAAGATTAGAGGATGTTTGATCATTTTTATCACTTTCATATCAGACTCTTTACTTGAGTAAGTATATGTTTCAGTTATGACAATAACTGTAATCGACTCATACTATTGATCTTAAATTGAGTTACAGTATATTGAAAATAAGGCAACACTGGAATGACAAAATACACTAGATCAATAAAATGTGGATCATGTAGAAATTAAAAAAATAAGAATAAAATAGATTCTAACCATCCACATAATCTTTTTTGTGTGAATTAACCTAGTTTCTTGTAATGTATGGTGAAATCTTCTAAGACGTTTAGGAAATAGATGTGAACTTTTCCTTGCATTACACTCTGGCTTTTTAAATGTTGGAATAAATGTATTTTCTTTTTACAATCTAACAACATATCATAGCAGATTAACTACGATCACAGTTTAAGTAATCAATTTCTGACTTCCACATTAGTACACTCACCTGTGTTCGTGGAGTTATTGACTTAATTGCCTTATCATGCCATTATTCTGACTTACTGTAAAATAAATGGATATGTGCAAGAATGTGTAACATTTATTTTTGCAGAGTTGCATATTTATCTTCATTGTGACTTTTTGTGAGAAACTTAATTTATTTTAATCACTTTCGATTAATGAAATAATCAGTGCTGAATTTCATTACCAAATTAAAACTGGGAAAGCCAGTAGAAAGTGTAACGGCTTATCACTAATAATTTTAATAAAACTCGACATTCATTCGGGAATCCGACGTCACTGGTACATAGGATTTACATGTCATTATCGATTATTCTTGCTATTTTCTTAAAATTCTTAAGCTCACATAATGCAGTTATGTTTTGTTTGGTGCACAGCAATAACGATTTGTACACCCAGTCCCCTTTATTATTTTAAAGAGAGCAAGAACATAGATTGGTGCAGAATAATATGAATTCATTTTATTTCGTTAGGTTCTCATCAGCTGCTTACAACCTAAAATATATTCATATTATTCTGCACCAATATTTGTTCTTGCTCTCTTTAAAATAACGATTTATTGGTGTTTCTAACCATATATCAATATTTTTCTGATTACTGACATTTTAGTTTGAATATTGTCCATCACTTCAATGTTGGCCTCTCTATTCAGTCGTGAATGATTTATTACCAGTAACTAATGGGTGCCCCGTTTGGTGTGATAACGAAACAACAAGCAAAAATTTAATAAAATTACCCACTAGTAAAGTTTCAAATAATCATTTTCAGTCATCTGGACCGAACTGCGAACAGAATTTTGAGCCTAAATTAGTGTATAGGTCACGCAACAAACATTATCAATTAAGGTAAAGAAAGAAATAATTTTGCTTGTGATAATTTGTTCATTATTCCAACTTTACTTTTAGATATTTCTATCTAGTTTAACACTATTATGTTTTTAAAATAATCTTGTACTGAAATACAAATGAAAGTTGACTATTATTCCATAAACTATTTATTAAACTTACGTCCGAGAATTAGTTCTTTCTGTTTTCTATTGAATATCAAGAATACTCTTAAACACTTATTGTATTTATAGATGTTTCTACATGTTAAAACATTCGTTTGTTTTTGTAGTATGCCTTTTGTGTTAGTGAATTTGAAATAAGAAGGTAATCAAGAACTAAAATGTATACGTTTAGCGTACATCTTCGGTGGCTCATGATCTGACTCCCTGTTTGAATGAACAAATGAATGTGCTATGAATATAAATCTTTCACTTAATTTCGTATATTACATCAAGGTTAACCTCGTGTGAGTGAAGGCGGCAATAAAAAGTCAAATACGGATTCAGTTGGATGAATTTATTTCATACACTCGTTTATTCAGATAGCATTAAGACGGGAAGTGGGAAAGCTAAGCAATGGTAAGCTTGCCAACTCGACTTAATAAATGATGACTCATTATTTATAGATGGATATAAAACTAAGTTTAAAACATGTGATGGATAGAGTAAGCAATGCACATATATATAAAAATAATCAAGTTTATAAGCGAATAATCGATAAAGTCAAAAGATGTGTGGGCAACGAATGAAGAACAAATTAATTAGTTTGTTCAAAAGCCATAATAACACGTATAGGCGTTACACATTACTAGGCTCTATACTTCATAACAGTTACTTCACTAAGTATGATTATTTTTATCTTAATTAGGCAAACATGCTCTAAATTAATATGGTAGTACGATTGTATTACTCTTAAAGACGGTATATTTTACAAATGATTGATCGTTTTTGTTCCTAAAATACCACCGCATATGTATTTAATTTGGGATAGGATATACCCTAAACTTTACTTGTATGACATCCCTAATCAACACTTCACAGAATATGTTTACTGAGTCATAAAATTTGCAGTCTCCTAGGCTTTCTCCATCATTTTGAAATTAGAATTTTTTCTATTTGGAATAATCGATTTTCACATGGAATGCTTTAAGAAATCCAAAAGGATTACCTTCTATTCAGAATTAAAGGGATGTCAAATGCAAACATATTCCTAGTTTGTAACCCAATAAAATTTAAAAGGATTGTTTCACATGTGTGAAACCTTAAATAGGTCAATTGCTTATTACCAAATCCAGCATAAATAAACTTTTTCCATCGTTTTTTGATGGCAGAATCTAGTTTCAGAAAACAAGATTATTCTTTCTCTTCATGAAGTTCACTACCAGTAATTTATTTTATTGGTAAGGCAATACCTAAATTTGTACAACATTCAAGGTACGTTTTATTAGAATACAGTTACCACTTATGTTCACTACAGGTAAGAATTCTGTAAGATTTATTATTAAACTTTACAACACGTCATTAAGTCTCTCTAAAAACAAATAAATTTAACACAGTTAAATTTCCGTAGAAAACATTAGTTTGGAGCATAATACAGTTCCTTTAATATATATATATATATTACTCCAACTCCCTAAAACACGTTTTTGATTGAAATCATAAACCAATTAATGTTAGATCACCGCTGAAAACCTGGAAGCACTGGACGGCAATTTCGTCCTATTGTGGGACTCCTCAGCAGTGCACATCCACGATCTCACTCGCGGGATTTGAACCAAGGGCCCTCAGTCTCACACGTGAACGCTTATTCTCTAAACCACTGAGCCGGCATCCAATGGTGTTAATGTCTAACCTCAACCAATTCACGAAATTGCTTGACCATCTTCCATTGTACTGAGGCAGATACCTGTCTCTACCCAACACGGATTAGCTCCACTGGTATATACGATCTTATGACTCACTGCATATTTTAAATGATCTACATAAGATTTTAAAGGACAACAAATGCTGATATTATGAGTTAATTTTTATCATACAACCTAAATGTTATCTCACTATGTATGTCGCCAGTTTGGCCGTGTTCTAAACAAATTACATAAACAGTATTTTGTTACTACTATGGTGATCCTTTGTTTGTAATATCCATGGCTAAAAAATAGTAACAATGTTAGTGTATGGTAATTATTCCAGGGTCATGTTGTTAATTTATTCATAATTAAATGCAAGAAATATCAAGGAGACGTATATAATATAATGTAATATAATACAATATAATACAATATAATACTAGTTGTTAACGGAACAATAAAGGACTTACAAATGATCCTACATAACTAAACAACAAAAGTTGTAGTGAGACCAAAGACATAAAATGTTTATCATTTAATTTGTATAATTCTTCATTGCATTTTAGATAAATTTCAATAGTTTGTTATTTTTTATTTCAGTAAAACAGTTATTTTTAGTGAGAAACCATTCTTATTCCCTCATATGTTGTTGCGCCAAAGTTTTAATGAAGCCAATACATATTATATAGGAACGTTTGTCTAAACTTGAATGAACAGTTTCATTGTAATTGGGTGCCTAGTTAATGTAAAACATTAGGGAAGAAAAATATATTTGTAAAGTCTCAGCAACTAAATTTTAAGTAGATCCAAAGGTTCTCCCTACAGTCTGGTTTAAGATTTTTCCAAGTAAATGTAGTCAAACATTCTAAAGAATGTTGACAAGATTGGATGGCCTACTTAGTATATAGTTAACCGGAGAACGATATACTTATTTATATTCGATGATTTTGATGTTTGACTATATTTCCTTGAAAAAAGCTTGAACTAGATTGTAGAGAGAAACATTGAATTTACTTAAAATCCACTTGCTGAAATTTTACAAATATATTTTTCCTCCTTAATGCGATATACACTATTGTTTGAATTTAGTTTCATTATACGTGAATCTAATGAGGGCATTTCAAATGAACTAACCGTTACGTTAGCTACAAAACGCCATAGTGCGCCTGATAAAAATCATAAAATGAAAGCAAAATTGTAGTGAATTGTAACAAGAAAAGAAATCTATCTGTTTACAACCTTGGGATTTTCAATATGTCATCTTACAGATTAATAATAACGCTTTGTTAGCAAATTAACAACTCAGTACCTAAACTATATTTTCTAGCTCCACACATTTTTCGACAGTTTAACTTTATGAATAGCAAGGAAACTAATTCAAGTTTCAACTTGATAAAATAATGTCGGAGATATACGAATGTGACAAGTGCTATACCGCAAATTAATTACCGATTCCCATGAGACATTCTTTAATTCCCTTTCATCAACCATCATATTTTATAAACCGTTTAGAACAACCAGTAATTTACAACAGAATTTAGTTAATAATAATAATATGTAGTTAAATTGTAAGTTGACAGTAAACTACTGAGATTAAAATTTAATTTACAAATGAAAAGTAAGTGGAATATTTTTTGTCCATAAAAGTGATTGAATGTAAGGTCAATTTTTCTGCTACTGTTCAATTCAATAATGTTGTAATTTAAGGTAAATCAAATAACCTTGATTAACAAAGGAATAAGATGTTTAAATCGATAAATAATTTCATGCTAATGAAATTGGGAAGTTATTTTCTAAGCGTACGACATCAGAATGAGAATAATGTGACAATCACAATAACAGACATCGGAATAATTAAATGTCATTTGATCCGCATATATGATGGTTGGTGGAAAGTTGACTAGAAACTACTTGAAAGTCATAATAAGCGGTTATTCGCCTTTGTTTACTCCTACATATTTCCAAACTTCATGAATATAAAACAGTATTATGGGACTGTAGGTATTATAACCAAGGTATTGTTAACGTGTTCCCATGAATATTAAATAAAACAGGCAACTTAATGTAAATTTATATCACATTTTCATGTCTTAGTCAACATCAGGTACTTTTGTCTTGCGCTTTTTACCTCCAATATCTCATAATTGAAACTTATCTGATATCACTAGGCAATAGTTAACAGGATGATTTATTTTTTAATCAATTAAATCTCATAGAAAATGATGGGATGCTGCAAGATCGTTTTCCAGAAGTAATCTACAAAAACAATTGCTTTTATAATCTGGATTATCTATCTGATTTGCAAACATAGTGTAACATTTACTCAAGTGTTCAGCTGTCTGATTACCATAATAAAATAGGTTCGTATTGAAATTAGGAAGTTTGTTTTTACAATGTCAAACATTTTTTAATAATATTACCCTAGTTACTAATTTATTCATTTGTCTAATTAGTAACAAATATTTATTACATTTTCTTATCGCTTATAATCTGGACTGAATAAATTGAATATTCATGTGATCGTTGTAACAATATTCAATCATTTTACTATGCCTACCTAACCCAATCTACACCAAAGTTTGGTTGTATAATTAAAAGTACTGTTGTTGAAGTCTTCAGTCTAACGATTGTCATCGACTCTGAGTCGATGATTCCGAATTTAGGATAATAAAACGTAATCAATACATTAGCAATCATACAATAAATGTAGTTTCTGTCACTTAAAAACAACGGGACAACCAAATACTGATCTTTGAACGATCTTCTTTAAACTGAGAGTAAATAATAAGTTGACCAAAGGAATTTTAAAAGGTTCTCAACAAAAATGAACACTCTGCTGTTATGTGGAATGATTAATTAATCCTTTGGCACTTGAAAAAATCGGTTATAAAAAAAGGACCGTTATCACTTACTCGTTATTCAGTTCATGTCTTAGACGAAATTTGGTGACATCATGACTTTTCTGTTGATGCGAATTACTGATAGAAGTAGTGGACTTCTTAAAATGGCATGTATATATAAACTTCAGGAGCACGCTTAAGATAGATCTGGAAATTTCTGTCTCATTAGTTACAAGCGGTACAAACGTTTATTATGTAACTACTTCCAACGTATTCTCAACGTAAGTAAATGATGCATCTTCCAATTTTGGTATCGAATTATTAAAACTTTGATAAGTATTATTATAATGAATTATTTAGCCCTTGAACAAGAGTCAATATTGATCAAGTAAGAGTTTGCGTTTTCTCTCGTTCCAGTTTAAACTTTCATTTCGTTTATGCAAAATTATAACTCAAACATTATAATGTATATTGATAATTTGTGTGGATAAGGCACAATCTCTCGACTCCTACTTCTCATACAATTTATTTACGGACTCTGAAGACAGTGATTTTGAGATTAAGAGGGAATTCTCCAGTCCTACGAAAATCTTGTTTTTGAAGAGGACTTGAGTAGCACATACTATCAGGCCGCGGAAACCTTGTTAGACCATTAAATACCTCCTTCCGTAAA